CTGCCCTTGTGCCACTAGAAAAAAGGTTGGTTCCATTTTCTATTTCTTTATTAAGGCCCTTCTGATGCACTTTTCCTGATCTTGAACATGAGGGGCTAGGACATTAAGTCCTTTCTCATGAGTGTTAGCAAGTCAGTGTTAACAACATATTTCTGGTTTATAGTGTTTTGGTTACTCACTGGAAGATGAGTAAGGCGAATGAGGTTGCAAAATAAAATCAATGAAATAAAAATAGCTCCATGTGGAAGTCTTTCTCTAGATGTCATTAGATTTATGCTTTATAAAGGTTTTTGGTTGAGAGTGTGGGAGCCAAGTTTTCTGATCGAGGTGGTCTCCCTCTTTGCTCTTTGCTCAAAATAACAAGACCAAGTTTTCTGGGCAAAGGGCTATAATAACTTCCTCCCTGTTTTTCTGTTCCTCTTTTTCTAACCCAAGAATGAACTTATCTCCTCCCTGATAGTTGCTTAGTTAGAGATATTACATGTTTTGCTGAGAATAAAGAGTTTGCCTAATTGTGCAATCATAGAGGGTGTTCTTTGGAAAACAAAGAACATAGTGCTCCCCGCTGATCTCCTCGTGGGTATTAGGTATTTCCTGTTCCCATCCTCCTATTCCCGTAAGCATGCCAGTAATAATCATTAGTAATCATTGAAAAGTTAAAAATAGCACCAATAAAAAGAGAAAGCCTCCCCACCCCCATATAATCAAGCCTGGAAAGTGGGTCGGGGACTTCAGTTGGAAGCCACTGTGACGGTGCCACTGGAGGTCCAGGCTCAAGTTTGCCGGCCTGAGCCTGCAATAAACTCCTCGTGATTACATCGGACTCGACTCCCTGGTGGTCTGTGGGGATAGCGCAAGCTGGGCACGAGAGGATAGGAAAGGAACGCCTGCGTGCGCCGGAGGAGAGCTGCAGAACGGAGGACAGGAGGGGGAAGTAAAACAAAAGCGCAGCCAGACGAAAAGGCCCAAGCACGTCCGTGTTTGCCCTCTGCAAAACAGCGGTCAGTGTAGAGAGGTAGAATCGGACTCCCCATGCGGGCGCAGGCCAGAGTACCGGTTAGTGAGCAGAGGGACGTGAAGGAAGATGCGGGATTGGGATTTTCTGTCTTCGTTCTGATTGCAGTACTCTAGGATGAATGGACAGCTTGATCAGGCGTGAGAACTTCGGAGAGTCACGTTAGTTACGGGGAGTATGCCTTGGATGGTTCACAGCTTCTATCCTGTTTGGTTTGCGGAACTTCCGTTTGTCCGTAAGATCCAAATCAAACATCTCCTCTGTGGAGTGTCCCTGACTTTCTCCCCATCTCTGCCACTTTCTGTTACTACAGGACTTCTATGTACTTCTGCTTTACATGTGGAGATTCATTTTTATATAACAAATACTTTGTCCTCTCCTTGAAAGGACAAATGTGACTTTATCTCCCACACCTAGGGTCTGGCGAAGTGCTGGCATGGAGCAGGCTCTCAGTGGATCCCGCTGAGTGAGTGGAAGGTGGGGTGAACACAGCTTCATTCTCTGCTGCACACTCTCTGTTCCTGTTCCCAGAAGCCTCGAAGACCAGGCTTGGGAAAGGGACTCCCCAGGGGCAGGGCCGAGAGGAGAAAAGGTCCCCTCTGTCAGCTCCCTGCAGTCTAGGACCAGGAGACTGAATCAAATACGTTTGATTCAGCGTGAGTCACCACAAGCCTCCAGTCCTTGGGGCTAGAAGAGAAAGAGGACACGATAACAGGAGCTGGGAGCTGGGAGAGTCGGAAGAGCTTATGCCATGATCGCTTACCATAGTGCTCAGTAAGTCTGAAGGATTATTATTAGCTGCTTTGGAGTTACAACTTCTGAAAAACTCCAGTGATAGCTTTTCTTTCTTTCTTTTGGTTTGATTTTTTGAGGCAGGGTCTCACTATGTAGCTGAGACTGACCTGGAATCACTATGTAGCCCAGGGTGGTCTCGAACTCACAGTGATCCTCCTGCCTCAGCCTCCCGAGTGCTGGGATTACAGGTGTGTGCCACCACGCCCAGCTAGTGATAGTTTTTCTTAAACTATCAGTTTTCATTTTTTTCTTTTCCTCCCTCTCTTCCTCACTTTCTTTTTTCCTTTCTTGGGAGGCTGGAAATCAAACCCAGGGTCTCACACTTGCTAGACAAGCACTCTCCCACTGAGCTACAGTCTCGCTCTCCATACCTTTCGTTTTAGCCTTCACCCTTTTTTATTCTTTTAGCTTTAAGAAGGTGAAAATTAAAAGTGAAAGGGGTCTCGAGCCCCCTTTGGGCGCCCCCTCCCAATCAGGTCACTCACGCACCGAGAGGTCCGGCAGGAGATCTTTATTGAAGGGAGTCAGGCGAGGTACAAAGGCCGGGAGGCGAAGAAAAGGAGGCGGGATGCCAAGGGAAGGAGTGTTGGCTCATTTGTAGGGTCTTGGGTGGGAGTTTTGCAATTTTAGGGGAATTAGCTGTTTTTTAACCTATTGCAGGCCACATTGCCTTATAAGGTCTTAGTCCTGCAGAAGTCCCTTATCAGATGTTGGCGTCATTTCTGGGAAGAATTCAACTGGGAGGGGGGGAAACGAAACTTAAATTGGGAAAACGAAACTTAAATTAGGAAGAACCCGGAAGTCAGATATAAAATGGAGGAGTTTAGAGTAACATGTACAATTTCCTAACAAAAAGTATAAGAGAGACCTGAAGGTCAAGTCCAAGAGGCTGCAGGCGCAGCAGCCTTCTCTCTGTGGCACCGCTCCACCGAGCCTCTTCCTCACTGACCCCGCTGTTTGCAGCACAGCCCAGTCCTCACTGGCATTTGTCAGCTATTTAGAAAGAGATCTTCGTATTAGGGAAGTGGCTGGGTGTGGCAGAAAGGGCCTTTGCAGGGCTTAGGAAACCTAGGTATCAGCCAGGGGAGTCCCAGGCTTCCTGGTAAATGCAGGCAGTGGTGGCCCCCTTTTCCAGCTCAGGTGCTTGACTGGCAGCCTTAAACAGGGCCGAGACAGGATGAACTCTGCAAATTAAACACATCTAAAGCCCACTGTTCTCATTGCTTACATTGAATGGGAGTTTAAGTCAGCCAAGGGTCAACTTGATCCTCTGCAACGGCTTCTCTTATCCTCTTTGGGGTGAGAGATTTGAGGATTTTAGTCCTGACCTGATGAGGTTCTCCAGGCTGTTGTGATCTTGCAGTGTAACTTTGCTGGGAGTCACTCTTGAAACTGTAGCTAAAGCCTGAGTAGCCATGGCTTCCAGCTTGTTGTGCCTAAGCTTATTCTCTGTGGCTGAAATGATTTCTTGTTTTCAAAACTGCAAGAAAAGTGAAAAACACCCACTATCTCTTTTTTTTTTTTTTTTTCCGGGAATCAAACTCAAGACCTTGCGTTTGCGAGGCAGGTGGTGGAACCACTGAGCCAAACCCCTGGCCCACCCACTATCTCAGTATTAAAGTTCATAGTCCCCGCAGAGAGAAATTTCAAGAAGGAAGTTAAGAGCTTAATCTCAATGAGTGACTGGGAAGGAGGTCTGTGGGAAGATGGAAGTTTGCTTTGTTTTTGTTGGTTCTGGGGATCTATATCCCCATGCTTTTTTATATTTTACTTTTAGACTGGGTTTTTCTAAGTTGCTAAGTTTGCCTGGGCTGGGCTTGGACTTGAGAGCCTCCTGTCTCAGCCTTCTAGAGTGCTGGAATTACTGGTGAATGCCACCATTCCTGACTCAAAGGTTTTATTGTTTTCTTGTTTGTTCTGTTTTTGTTAACTTCCTAAACCTGTTAACACTTTAAGACAAAATCCTAGATTTTTCTCTCCCCTGTTAGCTCAAATATAGGAGATCATCTTTATAAACTCAAAGAACTCTAAATTCCACAGCCTCTAAATTGCAAAAGCCTGATAGCCCATCAACTGAGGAATGAGATGGGTTTACAATAACATATGTTTATTTAAATTGTATTTTTATATATAAATTCCCAGCTCAGTGTTTTTCCCTAAATATTTTTATTTGCAAGTCAAATAGTGTACAGGTTCATTTCACAACTTGCTAACATGTCTACCAAGAGGGAGAGGAGTTAGTACAATTTATAACATTTTTCTAATTCTGATTCATGTTTCAGGTGGGGGAAATTTAATGACACTGAAGGAAGTTTAGGGAATGGTCTCGGTTTCTTTTATCCATTGCTCCTTACAAACCATTAACAGATACAACTGAACAATGTTTCTAGAGTCTCAGTAGATGAGTAATGCATTTCAGTATAAGCGAGTGAGAAGTATCACATCTGTTTGAAGTAGATGTAATTCTTCATCAGGAATGTTGGAAATCTATAAGCAGGTCATGTAACATCTGACCGTTCCTTTAAAAAAGAATTGCTAATGAAACAAAAACAAACAATAAGCAATTAAGCCAAACTTTTATGACCAGGCATCAGTGTCTTCTCCTTTCTCAAAACACTGTAAAACTGGTTTTGAAAGATAATTATTTATTGTTAAATAATTAGCTCCTCTGAAAAGAATTGTCTGGCCTCAGGAAACAGGTGACAGATAAACACTCATCTAGGGCAAAAGCTCCAAACTAACCAGAATGCATTGTTAGCTTTGTCAGGAAAGCATGGGCTCTAAAATCAAAGGGGCAGCTTTATTCCCTCCTTTGGGGGTCAGGGGCAACAGGAGGCACTGGAAACAGACTCTTCCCATGGAGGATCAGAGGAAATAGGTGAATTTATGTACTACCTTGGAATCTCCTCTTTTTCTCCAAGTACCCCAGGGAAGGAGGGCCCGACCTCACTCTACCCGTGCCACCACTGCTGCCCAGCCCCAAGGGCGCACTTGCTGAGCAGACCTCAGGGCTACCGTCAGTGCTCCCAACAGCACGGGAGATAGCAGTCCCTTCCCTGCCATCCCCACTGGCTCCCTGTGCTTTCCAATGTGCTTTCTCCAACAAATACTTCTCACATGCAAGCCTGCCTGCAAGGAGAAGACTTTCAGTGGGTTGTATTGGCAAATACAATGCTGGAGCTGAATTTACCTGTTTGAGCCACACGTTGGTTGTCATCAGTTGATTCTTTTCATCCTATGAAAAATGACAATTAAAAAGAAAGGAAATTGCAGTTTTGGGGTCTTTTCTTCTTTCTTTTTTTTGCAAAAAGCTCTTTTAGTTTTATCCTAGTGTTTGAAAGTACAAAAGATTCTTAAGAACATTGAAATGGCATGCGATCCTAACATATTATGCAGTTTGCTTAAAAGGAGAAATAATTATTAAAACATGTTAGTAGTTCATTGTGACAATATTTATGCAAAATTGTATACCCAGAAAACATTTTAACAGTAGAAAGCAGAAGGAAATATCATACATGCATGTAATATATTTTTTGTTTGTTTTTACAGTGCTATGGATTGAACCCAGGGCCCAGCCTTTTTTATTTTTTATTTTGGTACAGAATCTTGCTACATTATTAAGTTGCCCAGTGGGTCTTGAATTTCTGATCCTCCTGCCTCAGCCTCCTACAGTGCTGAGATTATAGGGATGTGCCACTGTGCCCTGCAATATGAGCTACACTGAAGGCCCTTTGCATGAATTTTCAGAAGGAATTCTGGGCTATTGAGCCCGCAGAGCGGTTGGGTGATCAGAGCACAGGACCTCGGCCATGTGGAAGGGTTCTTTTGAGACTTGTGGCACCACACAGCCGGACAATTCTGCTGTATTTGGGGAGTTTAAATTCACTGGTTTTTTCCAAGAACATAATCATGGCAGAAGTTGGAGCGCAGTGGAAAAGTGGACATTGCAGTGTGGCCGAGTTCAGCAAAAGCTCGGAGTTGCCGGGGAGCAGGGAGGGCTGCCCTTGCTCCGGCCTGGGCTCCCTGCAGGTGTCGGCACTAGGTCTGCCTGGGGCACAGCAAGGGAGGAATTGGGCAGCTAAGCTGCTTCCTTCTCTATTTCCCACCTCAGAGTCAAGGCTGTCCTAGCGGCACATCCAGCCCTTGGCCCCCGAGCCCCACAATGACAGCGTCCCAGTGAACATTCGCTCCGTGACAACTTCTCATTCTGTCCTCTGGTCAGTCTACCAGCTTCTTGGGGTGGATTTTCTCCCACCATAAATTACTGAAAGGCCAGGCATGGAAAACAATCTTAGACTCACACATAGGTTACTCGGAATGCGTGCTGTTTTAGCTCAGTGCCAAGGATTACTCACCACGTCCACGAGCTGAGATATTTTCAATCCAAAATACACTTTTACGGTGTCATTGGCGTTTAACACAGGGCGAACCCATTTCTGATAGCCGTGGAACAAATGTCTGAGGAGGGTATCTTCATTTTCGGCTACTGAAGTGAATCGTGCAGCGGCTGTAAGAGTGTGGGGCGCGGAGTCAGCGGGAGGACGCGGTGGCTGCTCAGCACCCACAGCACGGCCAGAACCCAGCCCGCGCCCAGCAGCTGCTTCCACGGGGCTCATAGCGGTCCTGCTCCACCCAGAGATCACTCTCCTCACAGCCCCCAGCAGTGGAACCTCAGTCCTGAGGGCCATCCGCCCTGATGTTCACCTCGGGTCTCATGGAGACGTCCCCTCGGACAGGAACAGGCTCTCCACACATTCCCTGTCCTGCACCTGGCTTCTCTCCAGGGCATCCCGAATAGGGGTGTGTGTGTGCGTGTGTGTGCTGTATCCACGTGAATTTCGTGTGGTCGCTGATGTGTGTCTTCACTGTGTGTTGTATGTTTATATATTCTCATCTACATATGCACACGGACATTGTCCTTATCTGAATTCCCCACAAGCTCCATGACTAAAGGCACTAGGGCTGTTACATCTGACAGTGTTCACCCAACCCCAGGTCTACACCTCGCCTTCGGCTGCTGTGAGCACTGTAAACGTGGAGCACGTGTGAAGGATCATGCTGGGGCCATTTCCGTGCACGTTCTCATCTGTGACAGCCACCCCGACTCCACCTTGAGCCTCACCACCACTGTGTGCTCGCGCTTGGACAAAGCACCCAAAACCCACATCCTGTTTGGCAGAAAACTTGCTGCACCGGCAGGATGTTTTGTAGCTCACCTAGTGTGTGAAACTTCCTCTTGGCCCTCTACCCTGGCATGGTTCTGCTGCTGTAAAATCCCACCTGTGCTCCCGTTGAGCCCTCCCCAGCTGACAGCCTGGTTTACAAGAGAAATCAAACTGCTTCTCGGTGCCGAGAGAACTTTCCGGGCACTACCCGCCTCTCGGTGGCTGGCTGTAAATACAGCGGACTCAAATCTGGCTCAGAGTGTGGTATAACTCTACTTCCAACTCTTGGGTAGGCAACATCAAGGCCCTGCCTGGTGTCTCTCCCTGCTCCTTTGCTTCCCTCCTTAAGACATCTCCTCCCAGGAAGGTCTTCCTGATTCGCAACAGGCACTGAACTCCTCTCAGCCCCCAAAGATGAAGCACCCTAGTAAATGTTATCTCTTAAGGTGAGCAAGTGGCTTAGGGAAAGAGTCTAGAGATGTGTTTTTTGTCCTTTCAAGGCTACACCAGCAAACCTAAAACAAAGAAGCCCTTCATTGTTTTCAAAAATACAGCCTTTCCCTGGATATTCGACCCCCTATCAATATCCAGAGCAACCCTTTCCGTGCCATCTGCTCTACTCAGGAAAACCTTCCCTGGGGGGGAGAAACACACCAGGGGCGATGCCTGCACACGCGACCTCCCAAGGTTCATCCAAACCAACCCTGAATTACCATTTGGACAAAGGTGCACGTGCATGCACACACACACACTCACACTCACCCAGGCTTTCCATACTTGGCATTGAGGGAGCAGGACTCAGAGGTGAGGCCCTGGGCTCCAGCAAATGTAGTGTGATGCAAAAGCATGACAGGGAGAGGTGTGGCCTTGCACTGTGCTCCTTTATTTAAAACTTTAGTCCTTGTTAAACTCCGATCCTTCTGTTCTTCTCAGCAACCAGACCTGCCTCCAGGGGAGCACAGCTGGGCAGCTGCCAGAGTGCCAAGATGTAGGTGCCCTTAGAGCTTACTGGAAATGGCAGGGGAGAAAGAAGTGGGAACTCTCCAAAGCTTTCAGAAGAAAGAGGTGTTCACTTGCTCAGGCGGAAATTCTTGATGTCCTCTTTGTCCCCTTTGTCCCCCTCCTACCCCTCCTACTCAGTCTCAAGGCCCTTCCAAACACATCCATCTCCAGTAGTTTCCCGTCATCTCCCTGTAGTGCCCTGCCCCAGGACCGCTGCTCCTGAACCCCGGAGCTGCTTTCTCATTGTTTCTGTGCTCGTTCTCTCTTTACAGCGCTGTAAAGAGATGAACTTTTAAAATCAGAAAAAGATTACATCACTTCCTGGCTAAACCTTCTGCATAGTTTCCCATCAAATTCAGGAACAAAATACCCTCGTCTCATCCAGACTGCCAGGCTGCCCTCTCCCACTCTATCCGGGTCTCTGCGCCCCATCTCCCAGTCCTGTCTGCTCTTCACTGTGAGGGACTTTGATCAGATGTCCTCTCTTCACACAGGTCATCTGTGCCTGTTCTGTCTCCGAGGCCTCCCACTACATCTCAGAGGTGTATCAGTCTCGCGGCACACTTCCTCCCCACCCTCCGTCAGGTACCCCGGCTCCAGAATGCCGGGGGCTTTGTCCGCCACACGTCAGTGTCCCCACGGAGCTGCTGTGCACAGGCCCGTGGGGAGATCAAGCCCTACAGCAGTGGTGCAGTCAGCTTGCCCGCTTCTGCTTGGCTGGGTGGGACTGGGGAGCTTGGGGTCGGGCTGACTGCTTGTGCTGGGGGAAGAGAGCACGGTGAGGAGGCGGAGCCCTCTAGCTGGAGAAGCCTCTGAAAGGCACTTGTCTTAGGAAGCCTGGTGCTGCTGTAGCACCACAGCTGGACTGGGTAAGTCAGAATGAATGAAAACGCTCCTGGGTCTGGAGGCTGCGAAGGCCAAGGTGAAGGGGCCGGCAGGAGGGGTGGGCCTTCTGGCTGTACCACTGCATGAGGGTGAGGCAAAGACACGGAGGAAAGCGAGGGAGAGAGGAACACACCCTTGTATACGGAACCCACTCCCGCATTACAAGGACTCATTCTTTCATGAAGCTGGAGCCCTAGGATCCAAACATCTCTCATTAGGCCCCAGCCCAATACACAACCACGCTGAGGATCAAGCCCCCCCCAGACACTCGGGGCACATGAACCTCAGAGGGCGGCCAGGCACTCTGCTGGTTCCCGCCCAGCTGCGTTCTCTCCTTCCAGATGCTACATTTAATCAGGGGAGCCACAGAGGAAAGGAAGGACCCAGCCAGAAGGCAGCATCAACGGCCAGGAAGAAAGCCTTTCCCACACTGATCACGGACTTCAGGCCCGCAGAACTGAGAGAAACACATTTTCAGTCTGAGCCACTCAGGTGTGACAGCCTGGGTGACAGAAACAAATCTGTTCTGAACAAAAGAAACCTGGGGGGAAAAATCCAAACCTTCAACGCTTTCTGCCAAGTATTGTCAATTTTCTGAACCTATCCTAAATAGAGGCAGAAGCAGACGTAGGTCAGGCCTGGGCTTGTTCATGGTTTGTGCTTTTAAAATATCACACTACAACCCAGGATTTAGCTCGGTGGTGCTGCCGCCTGCCTCGCAAGCACAAGGTCCTGAGTTCGATCCCCGGTACAAAAAAACAACACAACAACAACAAAATCACACTACAAGGAAGGGCAATGGATGAGCAAATGAGTAAACAGAGGGGAGGCCATAGCGCGTGCCCTCCGTGACACGCGGGAAGGAGGCTCACTGCTCCCGGGACGGAAATCACCGGTGAACTCAGGAGTTCCGGTAAAACAGTCTTTGTTATAAGGAATAACTGGAATTCTCAAGAACTGTGTGATTCACTGTTTACAAGTTCACTTCAATTTTAAATTACTTGGACAAGATCACTGTTCTGAGGCTCATCTCGGTGATCCACTGACAAATAAAGAAGTAACTGCTCTCAGAGGCGAGTGACCCCAGGGAAAGTATGATCCCTGTGGAAGGCTGGAATTTCCAAGTTCGGCATCAGTGAAGGAGGACAGAAAAGTGATGAGAGGCTCAGACAAGCCGGAAAGGACCTCCAAAGTCACCTGAGCCTCTCACTTTACAGGGGGAGGCCCTGTAGTAGCGAGGAGAAGTGATTTCCCCAGGGTCACTCTGCTAACGAGTGCCAGATCCAGTCTTCCAACTACCAGCGCAGGCATTTTTCCACCAGCCCGGAGCTGTTTGAAGATTGAGTGTAGCTAATGACCGATACTTCAATTGTGGTCGCTCACCAGGTGAAAATTGTTTCAACAATTCAAGTCTGTTGACACACGTTCCTGTTATTGCTGTGTTTTTGCTAACATTGTGTTTTTCAAAATGCTTTGCTATAGTTTGGAATGTGAGTGTCCCCCAAAGTCTCATTTGTTAAAAGCTTGGTCTCAGGATGATGCTACTGGGAGGAAGTGGAACCTTCAAGAGCTGGGGCCCAGCAGGAGGTCTTGAAGTCCCCCAGAGCACCTGTGGGACCTTGGCCCGGCCTCTTCCTGTTTGCTCCTGGCTTGTGGTGGGAGTGATTTTGCTCTGCCAGGCACTCCGGCCAGGATGCTCTGCCTTGAAGTGGGCCTCACAGCAACAGAGCCAACGAATTATAGACTGGAAACTCCACAACTAAACCTCTCTTTACCTCAGTAATCTCAGGTATTTGGTTATATATGCATTATTTTTAAAGCAATATACTTCCAAGAAGACTTCTAAAACCAAGTCACAGTCACATTTTTTTGGTCTTAGGGACACACTCGGTGGTGCTGGTGCTGGTTACTACCTGCTCAACTGTGCCTTTGCTGTAGCTGATATCTGACGCCCAGGGCTCTGACTGGAGCCCCTTGTTGAGGCACCATTCTGGGACCACTTTTGGGGAGGGCAACTCCTTCCTCCAGTTAAACACGGTCTCCTCACACCCCTTGTTTTGAGTCCTTCTCTGCACATCACCCTCCGAAACACACATTTAGTCCAGTGTGACGTCTCCCGAGGGTGTGTGCTGCCTAACAGAGCTCTTCACCATCTCTGGCACAGCAAGAATCGCGTTGTTCGCCTCAGTCCCTGTTCTTCCCCTTCCTGTCTTCCTCTTCTCCTTGCTTAATCTTTATCTATTTTTCTTGATGAAAATATCTTCTTTGGGCCCAGTCACCTCTGTGGGCAGAAAGCCAGGAGAGAGAGGACTGGAGAGGGCCAGAGACCACTGTGAGCACCTGGCAGACAGGACTGGGGTTGTGCTGTTTGGCCTTGGCTGTTTATTTCCTGCCCGTGGAGCTTGGGCTGGGACTGCGCTCCAGGAAAGCATGTTGCTCCTGGTTCAGATCAGAAGGCAGGGTTCCTTGCCAGCTCGCCACTCATTACAATGGGAAGCCAACAAATATTTATTTAGCATTCAGAAGCACTAGGCTTAGAGTTAGAGAAATGAGTTCTGTTCCTAATTCCAAATTTCATGACCTTAAGCCAGGCATTTGACCTTTCCCAATAAAAACGGGGTGAGATGACTGCTAGGACCTGCAGCAGCTCGCCTGTCCTGTGCTTAAAGGCTTGGAGTCCAAGCCACAGCTACCAAGTGTGGCCATGAATGCCCAATATCCAAAGATCCAAAAGAAAGCCTAAATCCAGTGCCATCCATGGGAGCAGCTCTGCATGCAGGGCTGTTATTGAATTAGCAGAGGTGAAGGTCATTGCCATTCTCAGGGGTTAGAGGATCCCCTTCTGTGGGGGTAGCAGAGTGCTCTTCACCCCAGGAAGTGCCATCGGGAAGGGTTTCACTGAGGTGCTTAATGCCAGCTCAACAGGAAGTCTTCCTTTGGAACCTAGGACTTGACCTGCTGCTGGTCTCTTTGGAAGGTGGGTGTTAGGCTCAGACCTGCTGTTCTTTTCTCATCCCCAGACCAACATCTACTTTCAAGCAAAATTTGGACAAACTGACACCTACGTGTAAGTCAATGATCACACAATAGATAAAACTTCCCATGATTATTTATGATTTTATTGAAAATAACATCATTGTTTATCTTCAGCTAGGAGAGAACAGAAATGATTGAAGAATTTCAAACCTCAAGTAAGATTGAGAGATAATTTTTGTTTTGTTTTGATACTTCTTGGTATATTTTGGTTCTGTTTTCCACCATTAAAAAAAAATCATACCACAAACAAAGTGTGATAGCACGAGACCATATTAGAATGACTTTGTTTTATTTGCTCTGCTATTCACACATCCTAGAAATATTCCTGGTGTACTACAGATGCTCAATAGAGTTTTACTGAATGAACAAGCAGACGTTATCACGAGTAAGATACAGTCTACTTTCCGGGAACAGACACAAGCACTCAACATGTGAATCAGCAAGACCAGAGATGTCACATAGGTACACAGAGTCATTCTTTTCTACTACAGCCTGAAATATAAAAACAAAGGACCTGTCCCTTGTAACACAAAAAAAGTAGTTTTGTGTAATTAAAAGATCCTTACAATGAGTGGTAAGGTTAAGGACTTAGGAACGGTGTACACCTCTAGGGGTCTAGACATATTCACACAGGTGAGATTACTGCTGTTTATTAAGTCTATTAAATATCTGCAGGAGACAGATATGCCTCAGAATCTTTCCCAAAAGAGTAGGGACCAAGTACCCAGCTCTCCTCCGGGCCAGTTTCCTCATTCTCATCACTGTGCAAAGGGGACGAACCATGCTTAAGCCTAAAGCATTCAGGCTGATTATCCATTGCTCACCCGAGAGGGAATTTCCTGGGGAAAGAAACAATTCTTTCATAATAAAAATACCTTGATAAATGAAGACAAAGAAACATCAGACATTAATATGCTAAAACATACAAATGTTGACTCATTTTTCTGGTTGACAAACTATATTTAAGTTGCAGAGAATACAACTAGTAATATTTGGAGATGGGTTTGATGCCTTCTGCACTTAGAAGTGACTTTGTTTTGTAGTCTCTGCTGTGAAGAAAGGTTGTTTTGGGGGCTGGGGACTTAGCTCAGTGGCACAGTGCCTGCTTTGCAAGTGCAAGACCCTGAGTTCAATTCCCAGTACCCCGCCTCCAAAAAAAAAAGTTGCTTTTGAAGCTAGGGTAATGTTCAGAAGAGCCTCATTCATGGTCAATGATTTATTTCTGTAGTTTTTTGTTTTGTTTTGTTTTGGGTACCAGGGATCAAACTCAGGACCTTGCACTAGCAAGGCAGGCAGTGGAACCACTGAGCTAAATCCCCAGCCCCAACGATTTATTTCTGGATGTGTGTAAACCTATGTTAGTGCTCCTATCTCTCCATTTGAAATTTGTAATAACTGGATGTGCTAAAAACACTACTGAGAAATAAAAACAAATTTCTTGCACAACAACCTCCTTACCATCTAGCTCCTGTCTTTAGATGGCTTCTGGTTCCATGAGAAGAGATTTTCTCTTCTTAGTTAGATAAGAAGTAAAAGAATCCCAAAGCCCCAGAAACTGGCAGGTGCAAGTGTGTCCTAAACTTTTCAGTACTTTCTTCCTCTTTCCTTTTCTCTGTATTTCTCTTTATTCTGTCTCTCTCTCCCTCTCTGCTTTCTCTCCCATTTTTTATTTGTACTCTTTCCTTATCAATAATTCCACTATTTCCAATTGGAGAACAGTTATATAACCCATGCATATTCATAGACATTTGATATACATTTTTATTTAATTATAATATACACATTTATCAAAATATTTATATAAGACTACAGAATATATTGGACAAAATTAAATATCTATGCATATTATTATTATAGTAATTATCAGCAGATATCACAGCAAAGTGTTGATACAGCAAATTACTATGCCCAATATTCTGACAAGCCTCCGAATAAAACTCACTGCATTCAGTAACATTTCCTCTGCATTTATTGCTTCCTACTGAGCTCATAATGATTCAAAAAGAGTAAGACACGACAAATGACCAAAACACAAGCCTTATGGAATTCACAGATTCAGCAATACACAGATTTCCTAGGAGCAGCCTAGGCTATCTAAACAGAGCTGCGTGACCTTCTGCAGTTCTAACATGACCCACAGTGTGGTTCTGCCTCCTTCACTTAAATAAATGTCTAACTCCAGGGTAGAGCCCAGCCTGTCCTACCTGAGGAGGTGATGCTGAGGAGAAAAGGCACCAGCGCGAAATCAGTGTGCATCATGATGTCTGCTGCACAGAGGCGATTTCTTCCTTCGTGACCACCGGACAACGCCGCAGCTTGAAGTCTGAGCAGGCCCCACAGGAGAGGTGAGCTCCACCCCCACCCCCACCCCGACCCCGGCTCGGCTCCTGTACAGCTCCACCAGTGCACGCGATCTATCTGCAGCCAGCTGCCAGGTGCTATAGGCCTAGGACGCAGCCCTGGGTCCTAACTCCTGCTTATTAATCTGTTTGCTCACAGAGAGATGAGAGGTGATGGAGAAGGGATGGGGCTTGCAGCTTTTGAACACCTGTGGCTTTTTCTTCTGAGTAAAGATCTATATAAAGGTGAAACGGTACCTCACAGCTCCTTTCCTGTGTGCGTGAGCAGTTCCCACACCCAGTACCCCACCCCCAGCTCCTCATGGAGGACATGAAGCCATAGTGACGCCTACTTCCCAGCCTCCCTGGCCCGAGGCCGTCACAGTAACGGGACCTTCACCACACTTCCCCTGACCTTGCCAGGCCACCTCATCTGGGCCACAGAGAAAGTGTGGCCATTTGTCCTGTGCCCACCCAAGAGAGGGACAACACTGTCCTTGCTTTGTTCTGTACCTCCCCCGTGGGTCAGGTCCACACTGGAAGGCTCTGGACAAAGGCAAACCCAGTGGTATAGTCAAGGCCAAATGGACAAGGGCCAGTGCATGTCAGCAAAGGACCGGCAGTAGGTGAGGACCCAGGGCAAGAATGAGTGCCACCGAGTGCCGGGCATGGAGTCGCATGCCTCTAATCCCAGCACTCGGGAGGCTGAGGCAGGAGGATCACTGTGAGTTCGAGACCAGCCTGGGCTACATAGTGAGTTCCAGGTCAGTCTCAACTACATAGTGAGACCCTGTCTCATAAACAAAAACTA